CTTTACGTTTAACTCTTATACTAAATTCCCAAACTTATCTCATATTTCAATCCTATCTCCTCCAAATGCCCTAAGTAGTCTGAACTAATGTCAGCTTATCCAAAAGTATCATTTCTTTTTATTCTTTGTGGAACATGCTACATATACCTACCTTGCCAGGCCAAACAACTAGTCAACTCTAATTTATCTTGCCAATTTGATCAGGATAATCCAATATTTAAGAATGTATTCTTAAAGACTTTAATTCAGTGAATTGTATAGTATGTGAAGTATTTCTCAATAATGCTGTCATTATTTTTAAAAAATAAAACAATCCCTTTCGATACTTCCAAACATTTAGTGTTATGCACATCTCAAACTTGCAAGCCCCCAAATACATGCCTACCTCCCTAATATCAGTGTGATATTGTGATCTATGCTTATCGATCAATGCTTCAGACTCCTTAGTGCAGGGCCATTACAAATTAATCTTCACATTTCCTTCAGTTAACATAATGTCTAACTCAAAGCAGACACTCAGTTAATGTCACTTCCATATGAATTCACTTAAGTGTTATAATCCTTAAATAGAAAGATACATGCTTGAAACAAATTATAATAAATCCAGCAAGTTTAGAACTGAGTTTATACATACCTGGATTGATGTTAAGTGGGTGTAATTTGCAATTTAGAAAGGAAGTTACCCTTAGGAATGAATTAGTTTAAGGATTAACTAATACTAGATTTTAAAAATTCAAAGTATAGGCATGTAAATGTGTTTTAAAGCAATATAATCATTTCCCAATGACATACAGGCTTTCTCCTCAATTTGATTTCCTGGAGTTGGTGTTTCTATTCATCAATCTGCTTACAGGGATGAATCATGATCCAGCTGCTATAGCTGCATTTAATTAGAGTATTTTTCTAGAGCTTCTGTTGTTTCAATTTAAGCTCCATTAATATTCTTGGCTGCCACATTACAGAATAAATTAGGTGAAAGTATCCTATTTACTGGGGCTAAATCATTCCTTCTAAATACTTAAAATCGACATCCACTAAGTCTGTATGTTGCTTTGGGAAAGATAACCATTTTAACAATGTAAATTTTCCAAAACCATGAGCAGGGAATTTCTTTGTATTCTCTTCTACTTTGAACAATGCTATATAATTTCCATTATAAAGATCTTTCATCTCCACTGCTAAATTTATTCCTAGGTATTTCATTTATTTTGGTGTGGTTGTTAATGGGATTGTTTTATTGACCTCTCTTTCTTCCAGCTCATTGTTTCCATATAGGTTGCAAATCAATTTTTATAAATTATTTTGAAACCTGCCACTTTGCTGTAATGATTTATTGTTTCAATTAGTTTGTTAGTGGAGTCTTCTGGGTTTTCTATATATATAATCATGTCATTCTGCAAATAGTGATAGTTTTATTTCAACAGTAGTTGTGAAAGTGAACATCCTTGTCTTATACCTGATCTTCTGCACAGTGGAAAAAAAAAAAACTATCATTAAAACTAAAAGACACCCTACCAGATGGAAGAAAATATTTATGCATTATGTACCTGACAATGGGCTAACAGATCTAAGGTCTACAAAGAATTCATACAAATCACCAAAAAGAAAATAACCCGATCAAAACTTGGGCAGAAAATCCAATTAGACACTCCTCCAAAGAAGACATATAGACAGTGAACAGACACACACAAAAAAATATTCATCATCATTTATCCTTTGGGAAATGAAAGCAAATCAAAGCCACAATGAAGTAGCACCACACACCTGTAAGAAGGGCCCATCTCAAAAAGAGAGAGAGAGAGAGAGAGAGAGAGAGAGAGAGAGAGAGAGAGAGAGAGAGAGAGAGAAAGGAAGGAGGAAGGAAGGAAGGAAGGAAGGAAGGAAGGAAGGAAGGAAGGAAGGAAGGAAGGAAGGAAGGAAGGAAGGAAGGAAGGAAGGAAGGAAGGAAGGAAGGAGGAGGGAGGGAGGGAGGAAGGAAGGAAGGAAGGAAGGAAGGAAAGGAGGAAGAAAGGAAAGGAAGGAAGGAAGGAAGGAAGGAAGGAAGGAAGGAAGGAAGGAAGGAAGGAAGGAAGGAAGGAAGGAAGGAAGGAAGGAAAAGAAAAGAAAGAAAAGAAAAAAGAAAAGAAAGTAAAGAAAGAAAAGAAAACAAGTATTGGAGTATTGGGTAGGATGTTGAGGAAAAGGGACATATAAACCTTTGTTGGGAATGTAGACTGGTGGAACCCCCTTGGAAAACAGTATGGAGAGTTCTCAAAATATTAAAATAGATCTACCATATTTTCCAGCAATTCCACTTTGGGTATCTATACAAAGAAAGCACAAATACTAATTTGAAGGGATGTATGCACTCTTGTGTTTACTGAAGCACTATGTACAATAGCCAAGTTATGGAAACAACCTAAATACCCAACAACAGATGAGTGAATTAGGAAGAGGTGGGTGTGTGTGTGTGTGTGTAATGGAATGATAGTAATAAAAAAAAAAAGATAAACTCTTGCCATTTGTGATGACATGGATGGAACTGGAGGGGATTATGCTAAGCACAGTAAGTCAGAAGGAAATAAATACTGGCTGATTTCACTTATGTGTGGAATATGAAGAAACTAAACAAAGGGGCAGAGAAAACCAAGCCCATGATAAACCCCAGAAATCTGACTAGAATTGAAGCTGAGAAGAGTAGAATGTGGAGAGAGCAACAGTGGACTATGGTGGATTATAGATATGGTGTAGTAATATACATTTGAAGGGCATGATCTTGTACCTCTAAATATAAAGTGTTGTAAACCAATGTTGCCTCAATAAAAAATTAAAAAAGCAAATTCCCCCAAAATAAAAATATATATATAATCAAATAGTTGCATGGAAAAAATAGATAAAATTAGCATCTACACACAACAGAAGAGTCTTCATTTCTTTGTATGGCCAAACACATAAACTTTCATTTCTTTCCTTTCACAACTTTTCCATAAATAGTAAAGGTCAATCTTTACAGGATATTTTTAACAACCAAATTTTCACTGACCATCAAAATAACAGAAAACATCATTACAAGCATTCCTCATTTCCTACTTGTTATTTTATCTTTTTGTTTTTATTAATAGGATCTTAATAATATTATTTTCAAAGTAAATATAAGCTGCTCATGTTGCAGTACAGTTTATAAGCTCATCAATCATTCTTCCCTTTGTAATAAAATTTCTATGAGAAAATGAGTCACAGATTTCAAATAGCTGATTCACCATAAGTTAGAATATGACTGACTCAAATTAAAACCCAGTTCTCGATTCCATTGTCTCTTATTCCCTTGTTTTCTTCTCTCCCTTTCACTTTTCTTACTCACCTGTCTTCCCCTCTCCAGCCCCATCCATCTTCACACATGCACAGATACATTATATATATATATAAGTTCAGAAACCAGAACATAAACAAATAAACATACCTAGTTTCATATTTAGTTAGCGAGTCCTAGAATTCTTCCTTAGTAGTGTTAATTGTGGATCAGATATATTGAACTTACGCTATTTCTATTTTATTCTCTTTATTCCAGTTAACAACCAAGTTGAGGCCTTATTATTCCATGCAAGGTCTGACAAAACAGTCAGCTATTTAGTGTCTGAATCCATTCCCTTCTCCTTTCAATCCATTCTGCTTGTACCAGTAGCTTGTAACTGTCTTAAAACAGTTTACATCATGTTGTTCTTGTTTTCACCCAAATCTTTAATTGGGTGAAAAAAATTACTTCTCAGAGTCATAGCCAAGAATATCCATAATATCCTAACCACCTTCTCACTGCAGCCTCAGGATCTCATTAAGGATCATTTCAGTATTTCATGGGCATACCTTTAGCCATCTCAGTTCTCTCTCTGGTCTACCTTTCATCTCATCATCGCTTCATAACCAAATATATTGCCAAATCCTAGACAAAAATTTGTCAACCATTTCAAGTTACAAGGTTGCTTTCCTAAACTACTGCAGCACTTAGTATAGCCCCATGCATTTGTATAATATTTTCACAGATTCTGCCATATGTTTCCTCAGGCATGTCTCAGAATAACATGAAGAAAACACAGTAAGCATGTACACATTTCATATGTTCACATCAGAAAGGGGAAGTGATTTATGCAAGGTCAGACCACCAGAATGTAGCAGAGGGTGCTTTCAAACTTCACACCATATCTTGCCATCTTGAAAATTGGATAGTAAGTTTTTTGAAGGCAATAGTTTTGTACAGAACTTGGCCCAGGATATCAGAACACACAAAAAGTGAAAATTCAGTGACTATTTGATTGAGTAATTCTATGAGTTTTTCAATCCATCCACTACCATTTATGAAGCCTCGGTGATAACCTCTCTCTTGTGTTCAATATTTAGATTCTGAACATTCAACTGAACACTATGATAAATATCTTAGCTATATCTTAGAAATTTAATTTAATTTCTTTACCACCTCCCTGTAAAGCAAATTGCAAATTCCCTTCGGGCATTCAAGTGGTCAATGTTAGCAATGAATGAAAGGAGGAGAATGAACTATATTTCCAAAGGTCAAATGAAATTGAGTCGCCTGGCACACCTGCTAAAAATCCACAGGAATCTGGGATTCAGGTTCAATACTTCTCAATCATAAGTTTATTTATCCCGAATTATTTATCACACAATTCCCAAAGAATATACTATAAACAATGAGTAAGTGGCAAAAGGGCATTAGACTGAAGGTTCAGCAACAGACAATCATGTGCATGTTGACCACTCTGTAATGTGGGCATAAATGCTCATGGCTGTTATTCACACTGCACCTAAATTTCCTACTAGCAAAACTCTTTTTGGTTCCTAAAAGAATATTAAACAGTTCAATATTTTACAGCTTGTGAAAACAAGGACTTTCCACAATATCACAATGCAGAAGTCACTGAAGAAGACTGGTATCTAGGGGAGGATTTAAACAGTCAAAGGATTCCATGACAGAAAAAGACCCCCTAGAACAAAATCAAGTAGGTACTTACAGGATCTCCACGTGATCCATCCTGCCCTGGAGCACCTGGAGGGCCTGGTTCTCCCTTTTAATGATAAAAAGTAATAGAGAATTCAATTTTCAGGTATGCTTACTAACATAAATGTAAACATTATACATTAAAACACATTAGATACAGAAAAAAATTACTTTGAGATTAGAGATCCTGACTTTTCCTGATATCAAATAACATATTTTGAAATTCATAAAGTGACTATACAAATACCAAATTTATACATATCAGCAGAAAATTGAGTCAAAAAATAACTCTAGATCATGCTCAGTGAAATAAGCCAGAAAGAAAAAGAAAAATACCGGATGGTCTCACTCATAGCAGGAATCTAGAAAACTTAAATAAGAGACCAGGAAAAAGAATAACTATAAGAAAGTAAAAATCAAAATCAACAAACAACTATGAACCAGAGACACTCTATGGGGGGTGGGGGGGCGGAGAAAGGAGGGATTGGGGTCAAAATAAGGGTGTTGCAATTGTATGGGGAATATAAAAATAAAATTTAAATTTAAGAAAATAAATAAACTGTCTAAGTAAAAAAAATAACTCTGGTATTATATATTCATTCTTATGAGAATAGAACTTTCATTATTCTTTGTTCAAAATAAGTATGACCAAGATTTCTATCAGCCTTTTCATTTTTTTAAAGACCTTTTTAAAGATTTATTTATTTATTTATTTATTTATAGAAGAACTGGGGTACAGGCCAGATGTGCGGGAGGGTGAGAAGATTCACCAGAGACAGAGCAGGGAACAGAACAGGCAGACTGACAAAATACACTGCTGAGGGGAGCAGCAGGCCAGACAGGAGAGGTCTGCTGCGCCATGCAGAACCCTCACCAGCCGGCATCAAATTGGTGCTGCAGAGGCTGAGGACAGCTTCACAGCACAGCGCTCAAGCACCTGTGCCACCAGGGGAGGCCCAAGTCTTTTCATTTTTTCATTTTCTTTTTTGTTATTGTTGTTTGATAGACTTGTTAAGTATGGGTATGTATGAGAGGGAGTGTATGAGACAGTGAGTATTATATATTTATTACATTATTTTGAAAGAGTAATATTAATATGGACATATATTACGTACAGTCCAGTGAATTATTTCCATTTGGCAAGGCAGATAGGATTTCTGAAACTCGGTTTTAACCAGTAGGTTGGAAAACAAGAACAATGAAACATTATTAAATGTGTGTGTGTATGTTTTATTTTTGTCTTAGTTCACTGTCTCATGCTTCAATAATTTTTTATCTTGTGCCTAAAAGTTTATTTTGTTTAATTTTTTTGAAGATTTATTTATTTATACAAGCACTGGGGTACAGGCCAGAGGCATGGGAGGGTAAGAGAATTCACCAGAGACAAAGTGGGGAGCAGAACAGGCAGATGGACTGAAGATACTGCTGAAGGGAGCAGCAGGCACAACAGGAGAGGTCTGCCGCATCATATGGGGATCTCCCTGGCTGGCCAGAGATTGAACCTGTGCTGCAGAGGCTGCAGACAGCTTCACAGTGCAGGGCTCAACCCGCTGTGTCACGGGGGAGGCTCTATTTTGCTTAATTTTGAAGTAGGTGTACATGTCTACATTTACATAACATTCACTGTGTAAAGGGATTTTTTGTTTATTCTTTTGAAAGATCATGATATTTAAGTAATAAATGAAGGTCAGTGAAAAATTAATCTTTTATTTTAAAAATGATTGAACCTAATTTATCTTGCCTTTCAAGAGGTACTGTAAAAATCAAAAGAACACTTTCATTAAGAGTGGAATAATTTTGGGCCTCCCTGGTGGCGCAGGTGGTTGAGCACAGCACTGTGAAGCTGTCAGCAGCCTCTGCAGCACGGGATGGAGCCCAGCCAGCTGGGGAGATAGCCATATGGCGCAGCAGACCTCTCCTGTCTCACCCGCTGCTCCCCTCAGCAGTGTATTTCAGTCAGTCTGCCTGTTCTGTTCCCTGCTCTGTCTCTGGTGAATCCTCTCGTCCTCCCGCACATCTGGCCTGTACCTCGGTTCTTGTATGCATGAATAAATAAATTTTTATTCACGGAGTAATTTTAATGAAAGTATACTTTTGATTTTAAACAACTCTGTGAAAAATTTACAAGGATGTAAAATAAGAGTACCTCACTAAAAAAATTTAAATTAAAAAAATCAATGAAATTTTTAAATCTAGTCTGGTGCCTAAGATATTGAATCATTAAATTATTAAAAATTGAGTTAGGGCCTTCCCTGGTGGCACAGGCGGTTGAGTGCCGCGCTGTGAAGCTGTCCACAGCCTGGCCGGCCAGCAAGGATCCCACATGGCGCAGCAGACCTCTTCTGTCTGGCCCGCTGCTCCCCTCAGTAGTATATTTCATCAGTCTGCCTGTTCTGTTCCCTGCTCTGTCTCTGGTGAATCCTCTCACCCTCCCGCACATCTGGCCTGTACCCCAGTTCTTGTATAAATAAATCTTTTTTTAAAAAGTTATTAAAAATAAATAAAAATAAAATTTGAGTTATTTATAGGTTATGAAATGAAATAATATGACACTTTAATTTAGTAAATTTATTTAAAATCATTATCTAAAATAGTTTTAAGATAACTGTCAAAATTATGGTTTCAGTTATTCATCTTTAAATTATTATACCCAAATTTGATCTTATTAATGTGTCTATCTTAATAATGTGTCTATCTTATTAATGTGTCTATCTTTTAGAATGCTTTTTCCCAAATGAATAAATTGCTGGTATATATACAAAATTACATAGTACTATACTCACTAAACAAATATTAACTGAATTTAATTTTCATGTGCAGTATTCATAGATCAAGTGAGTTATTAAACTGCTTGCACAAAATAAAGGGCACTGGAGTTCAGTCTCTTGAACAACACAAACACATATCCTCCAACACTTAAATTTTCTGAGACCTAGCAGTCATTAAGAGCCATGAAATACTTTCTGCTCAGCAAAGCACTGCAGCATAACAAGTAAAATTATCTGCAAACAATTATATTACACTGGATTCATATCAGAGAGAGCATTTCATCCTATATGAGAACAAGACAGAAGTAAAACAAACATTTTTCTTGGAAATACCTGAATTAAGAGAGGTTTAAGGGATAAAGTGATACAGAATATATGCACAAAAGCATCAGCTAACACTGTTTTCCATAGTTTCATATACTAAAGAATTTCTTAAAACTGTAGAGAATGAATGACAGGGAGAAGAAAGAAGAAAACTTAGCTAACGTAGCCAACACTTAGAAAAAAAAATCTAACCATATCACATGTAAACACTGATTCTCCCATTTTTATGAATACTTACATTGCGTAAGCACCAACTAAAGCCAAAATTTCATCTGTCCGAATTTTATTTACAAACACTAGATGACATTTGAGGTTAAAGTCTGCTGAGAACAATGTTTTCCTGTAAATTAACCACATTGAGGAGAGGGGAGACCTGATGACTCAATGGTTTTAGAAAAAGTTTTTGAAAATATCATAGAGAAACAAAGGTGTATGTTAGAGTCACAAAAATTACAATGAAAAAAACCTGAACAACTAGCAGAAGCAGTATGTCAGGTCCTAGTACATCAGGGAAATACAATAACAATACCTGAATTCAACAGTCGTGTCAATAGTCATGAGTAAGGATCTAAGCCAGTGGTTCTCAAATATAGGCCTTGCACCAGCCAATTAGCTTCACTTCACCTGGGAACTTCAAAATGCAAAATTTCAGGACCTACTACAGACTTACTGAAGCAGAAATTCTAGAACTCGGCAATGTTTTAGATCTCCAGCTGATTCTGAGGATTTGTAAAGCAAGGCACAATTAGTTGTAAGTCACTAACAGGACACCTAATTACCCCGGCCTCCAGCTACTGCTACCGTGAGTTAAGTAAATGTGTACTTTTGTACTTTTGTACACAAAATAAAGGGGGGAGGACAGCTGTTATAGTAACAAAAAAATTAGGATGGCATGTCTTTGATAAAAATCACACCTTTTACTTCTCTGACCATTGATCAAATCAAACTGTATTCTAGTCAGTGAAAGATTTTTTTTTTAAAAAGTAACCATTATAATTAGGTTTTTTCCTGGTCCTTTATTTAGGTTTTCTAAATTCCTGCTATGAGTGAGACTATCCAGTATTTTTCTTTTTCTTTCTGGCTTATTTCACTGAGCATGATCCCTTACAATAAAGTAAAAATCACAATTAACAAGCAACTATAAATGGGGGGGTGGAGAGGGAGTAGGATCAAAACAAGGGGGTGGGAATTGTATGGGGATTATAACCAAGATGAAAATGCATACATTGTGCAAAAATGAAAAATGATGTAAAAAATGTATAAAATAAAAAAGCAACCATTAACAAGATTTACAATAATGAAGTCCCATAATTATTTGAAGATATACTTTAATCCTTATTTTTTCCATTTCTTGGTAGGACATATAATGATGCAGAATAAAACATTATTTATCTTTTTAAACTATAGCATTTTGTCAAAATTTTACAGCCTCAGAATAACCTGGAAAATTTGTTAAGCTGCAGATTGTGGAACAGACCCCATGTTTCCTGACTCAGCAGATGTAGGGTGAATCCCAAGAACCTGAATTTCTAACCAGTTCTCAAGACATGCTGACTGGGCTGGTCTGAGGACCACACTTTGAGAACCACTGATCTAATCCAAGTCTCAAGATACTTCTATCTCCTTGTCTGCTATTTCCATCACTCTCAGTGTGAAGTACAATGGCATATATAGCATTGCACTTCTCAATGAATTTTTTGATGTCCAAGTTGTTCAGCAGGTATCTTGTTTACAAAGGTGTCTTCTTGGCATACATATTCTTTAATGGCAGGAAACCTTATCTTAACTGAGGTCTTTATCACCACGAATAGATAGATTAAAAACAGTGAAGCTAACCAAAGAAAGTGGAATAGATTACCTGTTTTTAAATGTGAGATTTTGAAAGGAAAAAGGAAATGGGAAAAACATTTGCTGTGGGAGATTATGTAGGATAGTTATAAAAGATGATGGTCTGTAATCTTCACCCAGGAATGTT